TCCCCGAAATAAAAACAATGGATTCCTTTTCAAAAGAAAAAATCCCTTGGCGTTTGTAAAAAAAAAAAAAAAGAGGAACAACTTGACAAAATCCATCAAAGACATAAAACCTCATGAAATCATTCTCTTTATTGAGGAAAAAATAATCAAAACTCATTTTCTCCCCAAATAGAAAATAAATATATATGTATATATATGAGATTCTTATTCAACCATAAAAAATGTGAGTAGCTGCAACATACTTTGCCCATTTAATCTATAATACAGACATTTAATTTTAAATGATAATCATACTTACAAAAAAACTTGTCCAGGGGCTGTCCTTGAAAAGCCCTGCAGGGTTTGCTGAGAGTTCCTGCCCTATTATATTTTAATTTTAAGACTGTGTAACTATTGTATGTAAAAAAGGGCAAATAAATTGATTGATTGATTGGTTGAAAATGAATAACAATGACTAAATAAATAAATAATAGAAGTAATAATAATAATAGTAATATTAATAATAATTGCTGCAGCAGTTTAATAACAAGATCTCCACAATGGAGCTATATTAGGCTGCTTCCCCGTCAAACAGAAACATAATATTCACCTGGATAGTTAGAAGAGCTTTACATGTAAATGCAATTTTGATCAAATCTTAGTCACATTACGCTCTCATGTTATATATTTTTTTTGGGTGGGGCGGGCAGAGAGGTTGGGTAGAGGGGTCTCATTGTGAAAATGTCCCAGTTAAAAATAATGTCTATCTTTTCTTGTTTTATAAGGGTAACTTTTCATTTTCATATTTTTCATTCATTTGTGGTAGAATTGATGGTACCCATTTTTCTTGTTTACATACTGTATATCTGAAACAATATCCAGCCTCCTCCCCTCAAAAGTCAAATGATTGTCCTCATTGCAGGGGGATGGGACACGCAATGCCTTCTTGGTTAACATCTGTCATTTTGTCTTTTTTTGGACAGAGATTACTTGCCACTGAAAACTTGATTGGTTCTGCCACAGGCTACCCAATAATAAAATTAAGCTGATTTTAAAGTGCACCACTATAACCCCAAGTGACTGAATAAACACCTGAAAAGAGATTTCAAATGGTAATCACATTTTTATGCCAAATACATTGAAATAGAAATTATTTATTTGTTTTGAAGGCTTGGCGCAGTGAAGGATTACCTTTAACTACTACAAGTAATGAAGCAGCAAAAATGTATGATGCTACCTTAACACAGGTTGGTTGGTTTGTGTGTATCATTATAAAATGACTGATTTCACTTGATTTGTAATACTTTTTTATTATTTGTTTGGTTACTTATAATTAAGCTGACATAAAACCATGAAGAGCAGAAAGCTGATGATTTGGAGTCAACATTTGGACATTGTCAGCCTGCACATTCCCCTGAGGGTGGGGTGTAGCTTGAAAATAAAGATCTCTTAGTGGGACAGTCAAATTTGTTAATTGTTGCATTATTAGCAAGCACATGAAATTGTGTTTAGCATGTGAAGCTGGTCCATTGTCAGCCTGGTTAACTCCAAACATGGAATTTTGAAAATCTTGACAGGCCTCAATCTCAAGATTCATGGATCATCTAATTTTACCCAGTCCCCCTTGGTTTCAAACCAGGCTTAATGACTTGTATTGGTCTGTAAATGTACACACATATTGCTTTCAATGGTGTCTGCTATAGGAGTGTTGCCTGGCAAGAAGATGTGGGACTCACAGCATTCATGTTGGCATAATGGACTGGGTTTCTGCTCAATATAGCTTTGCTGTACATTATTTCACCTTGGGTGTACTTATTACAAAAAACTGATAATGTTCATCTGATCATATCACAGTACACAGGGTGGTATGATGACTCTACTGTTGGTGGTATTGAGGGATCAATTTCTAAGATGATCGCAGCTGATCCAACTTTTGGTGAGTTAAATTAACAAAGATCCAGTATGACTGTTGTAAATTGACAGCTGGAGCTCACAACTTGACAAACAATTTATTACGTGTAATGCTACACTAGAATTTCTAGTGGCTTTAAAGCATTACACTGTAAGTTCATGTAATTGTCATTATTACTTATTTACATGTATAACTTTTATTTATTTATTTCATTTCATTTTTGATTTTGACCTCTCAGTCTCTTTACATGTACATTGTACATGTACATGTATGTGCATCAACCATAATCTTTACCATATTATATTTTTATAGTCATTCATTATTATTAGTTTAGAAAAGACAGCATTGTGAGTACTTTTAAGTTGAATAAAGCCTAATATTCAGCCATTTTTCCTCTTGTGGCGCTTGTATATTAATCCCAGAAAGAAAAAAGAAATTAATATAAAAAATTGAAAGTGTGGAAAATTGTGTCAGAGTTCCCAACTGTATCAAATGCCCACAGGCATTAACCATAGATCTGCTCTTCTGTTACGACCATTGCAGAAATGGTGGGGGTGAGGGAGGGGGGGAGGGTACAGGCAGGTTCTGAGTGACTTGTGATACACTGCCCACCTCTATTTCCTGTATTTTACATGTTCAAAGAAATTTTTTTATATTAATTTTATCTGCAGTCCCACATTACCTTTTTTCACCATATGTATTTCACGGATAACAATCAATAATTAATATTTTTCAGTCATTCGGTTGAACCTTTTTTTTTTGTTTCAGTAATGGGCCATGTACTATCCTGCGGGTTGGATCTCATATCATCTGGCATAGGTATTCACGTAAATCAGGATCTGAAGAGTAGGATGGATACACTACAATCACTTGCCACAGCAGCAAGCAGCATCACTAATAGAGAAAAGCTGCATGTGAGAGCTGTACAAGAGTGGGCTGAAGGGTAGTTTGTGTTTTTTTTGCCTTTTGATTGAACAGTAGACCCCAGATACCTTGAACCTTCAAAGAAATTGAAAAAAAGGTCAAGTTATTGGCAGCTTGAAGCTAATAGCCGGAAGTAAGAAGAAAAAAAAAACAGTTTTGACTATACAGTAAACATTCCAATCACATTTTTATTATAGAAATGCTGGGCTTGAAATTAATACTCGCAAACTCGGAAAATGCGAGTGATTTTGAAAATCTGTGAGTGACAAAAATATCCACTTACAAATGTTTGTGAGTTAGAGTCATCCATGTCTCCCAACAATTTAAAAAAGGGAAAGAATTTGCTACTGGTCTCACCAGTTTGCTAGAAGAAAAAATGTTTCTAGCAAAACTTTGCAAGTGCAGTAAAAAGTTAACTTCAAGCGCTGAAATGTTTTTAAACTTGGTAATGCACTCCTGCCCGTTTTTTAAACAGTACTTAGAAAAAATACCTGTAAAATTGCCTGGCATTACAGGTAAAGTATCAATCGACACTTGTAATCCTTTAAAAAAGTTTGCTTGTTTTTTTCTTTCTTTTAGAAACACAGCACAGGCATGTCTAACGTGGGAAGATATTTTGGTGGAAAATCCAACAGACATGTTTGCACTAAAAATGGCTCATGATTCATATTTCTACATGGGTTACCAAGAGCACATCAGAGATTCCATTGCCCGTGTACTTCCTCACTGGAAAGAAGGCATGCCACTTTATGGGTGAGATGGTTTTGTAATTTATAGACTTACTAGTCTCCCCTGCGACTGTTCTTTGTCTTGTCACACAATGTGAAAAGATAAAATGGCTGCAAAGGAGGCTATGACTTAACTTGACACAGAGATGCCCAGTGGGGTAGAGACAAACGAAGAGTGTTCCCAGGGGGGTTAGCCTGCAAACACAGACGTATTTCGGGTCATCCTTTTTGGGTGGAGAGAAGTAACAACCGGAAATAACGTGTGTGTTCACAGGCTAACAGCTAACAGGATGTAGGGTTCAAGAGAGTTTTTGCTATCCCCGTTATGCACTGACCTTCAGAAAACAAATTAAGAAATAAGAATCCTAGGGAAAAAATATCAAGAATTGTTCTTCTTCTTCTACATGTGAGACATGCATCATGCATTCTGGATTATTACTGTATAATAGACCTTGTCACGGTTTTCGACGCCATCTTGACGAGTAGGCAAACGCGTGAAAAATTACAGTGTTTGTATGAGAATCTAATGTCGAATAGTTTCCGTTGAACGGCTGTTCTGACAAAAATATGATTTGTAAACTAAAGCTTCTCTCCTAAGAATTCTAATGAAAAAAATTGAGGGCGTTACATGCACTAGAAGACCTAGAACCACTTTTTAAAATTTTCTATACATTTGTCTGTAAGAAAGTCCCGGGAAAATTACAGACAAATATATGGAAAATCTAAAGCAAGCCTCTGGAGAAATCTAAGCTCAGGTATGCCCCCCAAATTTTTTAGGACAATCCTTTGCTTTGTAGCTTTAGTTTACAATTGATATTTTTTTCAGAACAGCCTTTTTATGGAAATTATTCGACATTAGATTCTCATACAAACACTGTGATTTCTCACGCGTTTGCCTACTCGTCAAGATGGCGTCGAAAACCGTGACAAGGTCTATTTATTGGGCTCTCTTGCGTGAATAATTTCAATCAAGTCAGAACCCACCTTGCGAAAAGGATGGGTATGCCCCTGTCAATTGGAGTCATAGGTTCCATGCAACAGAAACTATAGGGGCGGTAAGTACTATTTTCCTAGTAGTTCTTCTACATGTACAGTGTATGTACCCCACAAGACAGAACTAGGTCACTCTCCGGGCAAAGTAACTAAATACCTGTAAACGTTAAATTTGTCTCAAATATACTTTAGTTACTCACATAGCAGTTGTTTTTTGTCTTTCCTGTTCGTTTTTCTCCCATATATCCCTTGTAAAAGACGAAAAAAAATGCATCGTTCGATTCAAACCTGTTCAAACTGACCGCCAGTATTTGATTTGGTCTTGGTAACCAAGCCTTTTCTTCAAATCCCAGGCGCGGGCGCTAAGCAAAAAGCGTTATATTATTTGCTTAGGGATCCTATGATCAGACAACGGCGACGTCCATGAAAACGGCGTGGTTGTGGAGGCACAGCAAAGAAATTTACAAAAAAGCGTGATACACGTAGCAGAGTTGTTATTTTGCTGATTAAACCTATTGCTTTTTTGACCCTCCCGTTCCCGGCCGTCGTAGTTTCGTAAGGTCCCGTCGCAAAACGTTATTCACACCCCGGTTAGTAACGTCTGCAAAGCAGCGTCGTGATCCTTTTTCTAGTCCCCCAACGCACTAAACGAATTACCGGAAATACGTTTCGTTTTTCCTCTCATTCTGATTGGCAATTGACAAACAGACCAACCATGGCGCATGCTCAAATCCTGATACACAGATGGGGGACTAAAACAAGGATTCCGGCGCTGTTTCGCAGACGGACTTAACCAAAGTTTACTATTTCGTTTGTGGCGCAGGCTAAGTAAGACAGGTAAGGGCGGATTTCCAGGGTCTTGTAGCTTTTACGTTAATGCGCGACCTTTTATAAAATTATAATTTCCTCCATTTTATTCACCCACGTAAGTAAAAGCACATAAAAACTACACGAGCACATAAAAACTACACGACAGTGGAAATGCACCCTTATTTTTCTCTTATTTTGTCTTTCTTTGGTTCTCCTTCCCCGGCTTCTTTCACTGGTATACTGTGGTATACTGTATGTAGTTACTTCCATTCACAATGAACAGACGTCTTGTATAAACGGTTTGTGTTCTACACCACCTTAATTTAGATTTTATTACTCACAGGTATCTGCAAGGAATGTATGCCTTTGGTCTTGTAGAAACAAACTTTTACAAGGAGGCGGAAAAATATGCTCTTAAGGTAGAGTTTAAACCCCCAAGGCCCAGTTATGTAAACGGAGTTTAGCAAGTATTTAACAAAACCGCGTTCTAAGCCATTTTCAGTGATTTGCTTAACGCTTTTACACGATCTATCGTGAATAATTTCAGTAAAGCGTATAGCGTAGACTGGAAAAGCTATTTATTTAGTATGTAGTTCAAACTTTTGAGTCTGTCGATGAAATCCTATGGTATGACCATTCAAATGAAACCTCTTCAGTAGTACTCTCACATGGTACTATTTATTTAGTATGTAGTTCTAACTTTTGAGTCTGTGAATGAAATCCTATGGTATGACCATTCGAATGAAACCTCTCCAGTATTACATTCACGCGGTACCATTTGTTTTTTTTTTTTTCAGCATTTCCCAAATTAAATTAGGAAAAGTGTGTCGAATTTGACTTCGGTCACTTTCTACTGATTTATTGCCTTTGTCAATGCATTGTAGGCCTTGGAACTGAATCCAAAGGACTGTTGGAGCACTCATGCCGAAGCTCATGTGATCGAGATGGAGGGACGACAAGATGATGGGATCAAATTTCTTAGCAAGACAATAAATGACTGGACAGTACGATGGTTCTTCTTTTTGCATTTACACTTGTTTATGATAAATAGTTGTTTAGCCTGGTTTTCACCTGCAACCAAGCGGTCGGGGACGTTTCTGGATACTCTTTGTCGCGAAACGCCGGGAAGAGTTGCGTACAAAGAGGGACAGAACTGGACTAGAGTCGTTAGTGATCCATTAAAAGCAGAGCGCCGATTCTGTATACGACTCCGTCACTTTCGATCTAGCGAAAACTAGACTGTCGAAGTCACAAGCAGAAAGGACAGACATTGTGATTGGTTTTAGTATTTGCAATTCTGTTTATGCCCCTTCAGGCTACTTTTATAAGATCGTAAACGAGGAAGTCATTTGCGGAGGAAATGTTTTGATTCTTGCGTTTTTTTCTGGAGCCTTGACAGAAAATCAAAAATGGGAGTCAGCAGCCGAACTATTATAGTTCGGCTTACGACTCCCGTTTTTGATTTTCTGTCAGTCCTAAGTGCTCGCACGGTTCATCCGATTCCCTTGATTAAAAAAACCAACCGAAATATTACAAGAATAAACTCTATTCCTTATTGATAGAAACCAATTAACATACTATCACGAATTCTCCAATGGGATTGGCTGTAACATGCTTTTTATTGAGCAAATGGACAGGAGGAGTCCTTACGTCACGTTGCCATGGTAGCAAAATTTCCGGGTCTCAACAAACCGTGGTCCTGCAAATATGTCAGAAAAAAAACGAAAAAATTTGACAAGTATGACTTTCTTATGCATGATTAAACTCAGGAACAAAACGGTGGCCAATAGTATTCTTCCATCGTTTGTCAATGGTAATGGCTGTCTCTGTCAAGAACGATTGTGGAGATAGAAATTTTGCTACCATGGTAATGTGACGTCATACTTCGATTCCCATTTTCCCTTTCATCTATTCAGCAACAGATTGCACTATACCATCCGAGTCGCATGGTAGCCACTGGCTTTCTTTGTTTTTCTTTTAGACTGGAGCAATGTTAGCTTGTCACAATTACTGGCACTGGGCTTTATACCACATCGAAAAGGTATATGCATTACTTGGGATATACTAACTGTGGACGGTTGTTTTCGATGTCATCTTGAAAGAAAGAAGATAAGCATTTAAAATGATGTAATGGTGTTATTTTTCTTGCCCCACTTCGTCTCACGCTCTCTTGCAAGGAATTTTGCCCCACGTGAATGTTAAGTTGCAATTGGCTCTCAATTACACTCAAGATACACCACAGAGACACTGTTAAGAGACGCATGCGCGAAACTCACTTAAAAGCGCGTGTTGGCAAGCTAAAAAACTAACTGCAATGTCCAAGTTATAACAACGTTTGTTTACAATGTTTTGTTTTTCAGGGTGAATATCAGGCTGCGGTAGATATATATGACGAGGAGGTACAGGACAATTTTAGCCCATAATAGTAGACAAATTAAACATCCTTCGTTCAATGCGATAAAAAGGTCTCATCGACAGGTTTCTCACCCGTAATGTCTGTTAATTTTGTTCATTTTTGTATTGTTTTTGAAAGCTGATATTTCCTTTTGTATTAAAAGGAAAGCGCTAAAATGCATAAGAAAGTAGTTACAAAAAATATAAACGTCAGGTGTTGCAGTTCTTGTTTATATTATTTCATGTTGTGTTTTGCACTATTTTTTCTTTTTTTACGTCAATATTTGTACCAAACTAAACGAGGTTAAATCTGTAATCTGCATTGTCAGCAAAGATTTTCCACTTTTACATTACATTCATTTTTTTTAGCACACCCCCATCTAGGTTTTTTCAGTGATCAAATAGGATAACGTGGAGTAAAAACTAAATACTATAGATAAAACTTATTCACAGAAATCGGACGATTATGTGCATTTGAATTGGATTAAAATAACTAACTACATACGTTATAGCTCATTATATACAATACAAATTATTCAACTCTAAAAATTAAATTATTGTTGATATAAAAGTTCTTTCAGAAGATGATTTTTTAAAGAAGAAAGCGGGATTCTTGCATAATTTCAAGCTGGAATCGAGCTTATTCCAGATAGATATCCTTCTATAGTAAAAGGTTCTGTGTCCCGTTGCATCTTTAAAAAGGAGAAATCTTTAGTTGTTGGAAGTTCCTGGTTGTACGTCCAGATACGCTGCCTCTTGTAACGAACTTAGATGTTAAGTATTCAGGCGCGTAACCCGTTGTACACTTTGTTTGCTTGTGTGTTTGTTTAAGTGTATTTTTTTTTTCTTTGAACTCGTTTTTCTCATTGCTGTTTAAGGTTGGCAAGCGCTGTCATTCCGGGGCCATGTTGGATTTGGTGGACGCCTCATCACTTCTTTACAGACTTCAAATGGCAGGTTGGTGATACTGTGGCACACTCACTACCATGGCGACAACAGCGAAAACGTGATTTCTAATGTGGAGTCTACTGTCGCCTTTTGATGAATTGTCCTTTTAACAGTGATATGCTTTATTTTATTTAATTTGCAAGGCTTATCAAGCCTTTATCAAGCGGCCAATTGTCCATATCAGTGGTCCATTACCCTTTTTTATGCAGGCTTGACTTTAGGTGATATAATAAGTGTCCAGATAGTTTTGCCATTTTATGTCACGGCCCTCTAATACTGTCATTAGGCGTTGATGTTGGCAACCGCTGGAAGGAAATTTATCACCTCTGGGAGTCACATACAGATGATCATATCTTGGTAAGATCAATCGTCTGTTTACACTTATTTTAACCCATAGATTCATGTTCACACGAGCAAATTTGGACAAATTTAATTGCCCTTCTACACCACGCGGCATTTGTTGTTGTTGTTGTTGTTGTTAGAGCTAGTTTCCATAATCTCCAGAAATGACTCTTTTTGTGAACAGTTGACACTAATAAGAATAATGTGACAACCTTTTACATGCCTAGTCGTAGACACGATCCATCCTTTTTTTAGTTATGGGAATCTTTTTGCGAATCTTGGGTGCATTTGCCACCTAAAATCTGGGAAATGTTTCGGATATGTGCTCAAGCACGAGAAGTATTGTGTGATTTTTATATTCGAGAAGTTCTGCTCGTACCGTGCCCTGTAGGAATGGGAGGTCTAAGCTACCAAATGTATACAAAACAACACCTTGTAACACTTAAAGAAATCTTCGTGACAAACTTAGCCGTCTTGTCCACAAAAAGCGGAAAAGTTTTCAAGATTGCCAGCCTGTCACGGATTTTGTTGTATTTTTTCCAGGTTTTTAACGATGTTCACATGTTAATGTGTACACTAGGAGCCAAAAATGAAGATGCAACCTTGAAACTTTTAGCGTCACTCAGAGAATTCGTCAGGTATATTTTATCATATTCTTTTAGCTGTCTCTCTCAAAAACCATCAGGCTGCTATCTTGAACGCGCCATCTTGGATTTACAGTTCAAGATGCCATTGCAGTTTGTTCCACCGATTTTTTGTTTGATTGACGGTAACTTCGTGTATATAAGTGAATGTCAAGACATTGTCTTTGAAAGTTAAAACTTTCGTTCTGTCGCTTTTTTCTCTATAGAGATGGTGCAGGAACAAATTGTGAGGTATCGAAAGAGGTCGGCCTCGCCCTGTGCGAAGCTTTTGAGCAAGCTGATAAGGTTAGTCAAAAGTTTTTCATGTATTTCTTTGCCCACCGATTCCCCCTTTTTTTGTGAGAAATCCTGAAGTCAATGTATAAAAGGAAGAACCCTTGGTGAAATTAAACACCGTTTAATAGGGATATCAAGTTACTGCTATATTACAATTTTTTTATCCGTTAAAATTTCTTACATAATACCGATGATTCTGGAAGCCCAAAGGTTACAGTGTATATCTGTATTGTACTCTTATCTTGGTTTAATCAAGGTTTTTATTTATGTATTTATTTATGTATTTTTATTTATTTTCATTTATTTCTAAGGGAAATTTCGATAACGCTGTTGAAATTCTGAAGCCTATTCGCTACAAAATTGTGAAAATCGGAGGCAGCAATGCACAGGTAAGATGAATAAGCTTAAATGTAACGTGTAACGTTTAAAAGCGTTGAAAAAGAGCTTTTAATAAAGTTTAAAACACAAAGCGCAGCCCAGACTTTTAGACTTGACGCATTGAACGGCATATTACAATCCTTTGTAAAATTTGGATTGTTTTGACGAAACAAAATTAGATAACCAACCACCCAAGGTGGTGGGTTCTATTTCCGCTGCGAGCATTTCTGAAGTGTACTTTATATTTAAAATTCGATAGATAGACAGATTTTAAACATGTATTTATTTTGCATATTCTCAATAAATTATCAACGATTTTTGGAAGAGTATGTGCTATTTTAATAAGGTTACGCGTCTTTCATAACCTAGGAGAAGGGAAAACGCTCACCCTTTAATCTCGTTTCACCCTTAACGGTGTGAAGGCAATCACATCGTTTTGCAATAGCACTGCATTCAGGTTACAGCAGTCTTGTGGTAGACGCAATGCATACCCGGATATGTGCTCTTTGACAATTCAATTTGTATTGGAAACAAGACGCTGTTTGAGCGATAAGTTGAGCAACAATGCAAAACATTTTACACTTTTCTGTTTGTAAGACAGAGAAAACTGTAATTGTCACCTCATTCCATGGAAATATGGAGATGCTTGTTTTGTTTGTGTTTGTTTCGTTTTGTAATTTTGAGGTTGCTATGCTTTTTGGTTGTTTGTGTTTTCTTTTTTGCCGTGTGCAAAATACGATATACGTCTATAAATTAAACGTCCACGATGTAACTTGTAATAATGACGCCTCTCTTTGCTTGCAGCGAGATCTGTTTAATCTGTTCCTGATTCACGTAGCTCTGAATTCAACCAGTAAACAACATCACCAGTTTGTGAGGTGAGATGACGTTCATTTACTTGCTAAGCCGGTGATTACGCACATTCTGCAGCGAGAGAGAGAGTGGATACGACGTAATTGTAATTTTCAGATGCTGGGAAACCCTAATATAAATTAACGGCGACGGCGACGGCGACGGCGACGGCTACGGCTACGAACACGTCACAAGTGAATTCGCGCAGCTTTTAAAAACTTTATTGCGCTTATTCCGTCTCGTTCAGCTCATCAAAATTAATATTGACATTGAATTCGAAAGGACTGTATCGAATTTCAAGAAATGAAAAAAAAAGTCCTTGTCGTTTGTTGACGTCCTCCACAAAACGTGAAAAAGGCATTTCCAAGTCGTAGTCGTGCAGTGATAACCAAGAAATGCACCGAAAATGCGTGATGTACGTGCAAAGTTTGTTTTGCTTATCTAAGGCCTAGGCTAAAGATTTAAGTTAAGATTGTCTGTTGGGTCAGACTTTGAACTTAGGACGCGTCGAAATAATCAATTGAGTAACCTCAGCAATAAATTTTCTATCGAACGAGGCTAAATATACATTATCATACATACGACCTCTCATAAGTGAGGGAAGCGCGAGCTTTAATGCGTGGGGTCGCGCAGCGACCGAGCAAGCGACGAAATTTCGAGGTCTCTTTAAAATAGCATTTAACCAACCAGGAAAAAAAAATAAAGGACTTTTAGAAAGTCTGCAGAGGATCGACGTTTGTCTCGGACACGATCTTCAGACTCTCTATCCGTCTCAAGTAGACGGATAGAACGTGTTGGACGACCCAAACTCTTGCAGACGATTTTAACTTAACCAGACGTCGAACTTTTCAAGAACTTAACTAAGTTTGGTTCGTCTCATAAAAATTTCGACATTTGGCCTAGACCTTAAGGTACGGTTTATGAAAGTTTAGTGATCTTTAGAGACAAAAGAACTGCCCGTTAAGAGAGGTACCGTATTTATGTGGGTTTAGTAAGAAGAGGTTAGATTGTATTTTTAATTTAAGGTGGAGTACATTTTCGTTTCGAAAATTTTTTTTTTCAGGAGCCTATTGGCGGAGAGAAAGGCCATGAAGGAAAACGCGCCCATGACAGACAGGCTTATGGCAAAGGCTTTAGCCTTACATGTGGAATAACCAACATATTTTGTAAAAGGAAATTATTATTATTATCGTGCAATTGGATCACTAATTGTCTCGTCCAAAAATAACAAAAACACTTTCCTTATTTCCTTATCCTTATCGACTGTAACTAGCACATTTCTCATCAATAGCCCTCGTTCGATATATTAAAATTCTAACATGACCCCGAGGCTTTAGGGTCAAATTGCAAATTTTTCACGACTCTATTGTCTTACAATTCCCAGAACAGACTTGAACATAAAGAAAACCAAACCAAATATGGAAAAATAACCAGAAAGCCTCGGGGTCATGTTAGAATTTTAATATATCGAACGTGGGCTATCGAGGACGTCAGTCAATATTGAATCGAATGTCCTTAAAGGTCTTAAAAGGTGTGTGCTACTGGTAGCGCGCAATCGCCATTTAGTTTTCATGTCGGACGAGTTACGTTAATAACAATTCAGTAATTCTCCCCGGCGCCAAATAAGGGAACCATAAGACATTTAAAGGGTTGCTCAGTTTGCACCAATTATCAATAGAATAAACAATAATTTTTTTTACCAATTTGCATTAAAGGCATACTTTCTAAAAGTCAGTTCCTGTGTGTTTTTGTTTTTTGTTTTGTTTTTTAGTTTTTTTACGACTGACCTTTTTTTGAGTTAGAACCTTTTTGTCGTGTGGAGGCATGTGGCCGAGAAGTTAAAACTGTGAACTTGGAATCTGTAAGTCTAGGTTGCGTTGTTTCCTTAGACGAGAAACTTGGTTCCACCTTATCTTTCTTCACCCAAGTGTGTGAATGGGTATCCTCAGACGTACTGTCAGGGGATGGACTAGTGCTTCATGCTACACTGAGAAAAACAGAAAAGCGCTTCGTCCGTACGGGCCTTGCAGTTTTGTGCGCCTTTAAACCTTGGCGGTCAGCCAATTTTTAGGGAAAAACTGGAAATAGAGATTTCCAACACTAATGACATAACTTGCTGCTAATTGGATCTAATTAGGCAGGTGTTTTTGTTCCTCGCGATTGCGCATAAGCCAAAATGGGTCCAGGAAGTTTAATATGCATGGGTTTCATACAGGTCCATCTTCTCTTACAAAGCTGACGTAACTTATTTAACAATTAATGAATGAGGCTGAGTATCTTATCAAGAATTATGGAGATCGAGGAGGGTGTTATCCGTCGAGGCCGTAGGCCGAGGCGGATAACACCCTCCGAGATCTCGGAGTCCATAATACGAAAGCCGAATTCAATATTTGTTTTATTATTGATTCAAAATAGTTCCTAGTAAAAGCATAGCTGAAACAAGCTTACCTGCATCGATGTTAAGTTTATCTTCGATAGTTTACGTTTAGGTTTGTCCAGCTCCGCAAATATTCTCCAAAGTGAAGAACCAATTCTCGGAGCGCGGAAAAGATTTAGAAGAACCGTACGAAACCATCAGTGACAATGAGTCCCGCTACGATATTAATAAAGTAAACAAAGAAATTAGGTCTTCGTCAGTTATACGATAAAAGCAAATTTTTGAAATACATGGCTGTCAAAACTAAGTGCCATGGCAATGTCAATGTTGACATAAACGTCACGAAGACTTTAAAATCGTCCTAGATAATCTTTAGGAAATGCCGCTAGGGTTGATAGTCGTAGCCTAAACGGTTTTGAAGTATTTTAACACTTTTTACGTGGAGCATTTCAAAATTCCAAACCTGAATGTCGCTGTATTTATTCCTTGGTAAACCATTGCGCTTTCAGTCAAACCTCCTGAATTACACTTGTAAACTTCAAAGGTGCTTCATTTCCTTTAACATTACTTTCAATTAACTGCCTCAATTCTGTCAGAGACCTTGTCCTTAACAGCAGCGGCGATACACCGTCTAGATTTCTTTTATGTAATAAAAAGTCGCAACGAATCACTCGACAAACAGCTAACCGCATAAATTAAGAAGGTTGAGGTGAGGATCGAATGCCACCGTGCCACCTATGAGGGCATGTCATGGATCCTTGAAAACAAAAGAAAAAGTAGGCGCAGTTTTTCTTCAATGGGTCCCTGAGGAATCGTCACTTATTAAATAAAAGTTTAGCTGCTCCTTGTTACGCGAATTATCACAATTACGCCCTAGCTTAAGACCACTGCCTAAACCATACGGGATAGCTGTTCGTGCGGTCATGAAAAACTATCCGGAGCGTATGGTATCAAAAGCAATCGGGCACAGAACTGGAACAAGTCGTTCACCACATCTTCCCGAGAGGGTTAGGAACACTAAATATCAATCCTCACCTCTGAATGTTTACTTCCTTCTTAGTAGGTCTTTCAATCCTCGCTTCTACTCATTTACTTCCGCTACTGTCCGAATACCTGTTCACACTTCACTGAAGTGTGGCTCAGAGCCTATCGGATATGTAACAATCCAATTTTGAGATCAGCGCGTTGCTGCTTCGCTCCGTTATAGAAATCGCGCCGAAATCACCTTCTTGTGTGTGAACAGACTCCTATTGGGTACGGTTTTGGTGTCGGCGCAAGAGCTATCCAATATTTGTCCCTATCAACGTAAAATGGACAGTTGGTTCATTAACTGGTTGATTTCTTTGTTTTTGTCACTTTACAGATTACATTTACTGAAAATAGAGAAACCGAGAGTGACGGGGAAGCCTGGAGCTTATATGTACTCCAGGTTCCCCCTAGGTTGGTTTAAGTAGACATAACATCAGGGAAAAGACGACGCGATTTCACACAATATACCACAGTATAAACTAGAATACAGGAAAAAAAAGAAGAAGAATAATATATTTTAACTAGGATATTTTGATAAAAGTTCACATTTAAGCGAAAATTTAAAATTAGCTAGACTAGTTAGGGTGCTGAAATGTTTGCTTACAGAGTTCCAGAGCAGTGCATGGACCTTGGTAGTAAATACTAAACTGTTTTAAGGTTGTGTGAGACCTACGGGGTTATGAGCAAATCGTGTAGTGCAGTAATATGAACAAGAGAACCAGATGTGAAAAGATTGTCGAAGGTCGAAGGCAATCAAATTGATATTCAGATTTTTATAACAACACCCAAACCTCGACGACATTAAAGCGAAACTGAAGGATTATATTACCATATCTTGGAATTCTCTATTTGATATTTTCGGGTAGAGAATCATGTTCTAGAAATTTCCTTTAAAATACTAAAATAAACGTGAAATTTGGAATAATGTGTAACAGTTCAATCGCTTGGACAGTGACGAGGACTTAGCTCCTGTTTGCTATCCGAGAAATCCACTCGACTCTTTAGTTCATCAGCAACTCTGTATTTTCTCTTCCACTCTAGTTTACTTTTCTCCGACAGTCTCAAGAGGTTTAGCAAGCAATTGTAACCTGCTTTAATGGGATACAGCCGAGTCCAAAATTTTAGTCGCGAACTGTCACTCAAATTCAGTTCATGAATCCAGAGAAGAAAGCTGCAATTAGATGTTGCGTCATAGCAAGGACAACTATCATATTTTCAGTGCGAGAATTTGGCTGTTTCTCAAGGGCAGTTGTATGATTTATTTCACTTATTCTTAGTCATCAGAATGAAGTTAAAAAGCTGGGTATTCATGTGTGACAGACGGCACTTAATTAGCTCCGTAGTTTTGCTGATTATTTTACCTTAATGTGACACTATAACTACACAGATTGGAACATACAGCCACATGCAATTAAGAGCAAGACTAAAATGGTCTTAAGACGATGCTCGCTCGCGGAACGGTTAGATGGTTAAATGGTATTTCAATTCGGTGTGAGGTCTTTGGAATTCAATTAGAGCTGGAGATGAAAATTTCATTGCAAATGGATTACATTGGTACGATGAATGGATCACATTAATAAAGTGGAACTCTGCATTTGAGTCTAAAGTACCGGTAATATATTGGGGTTTTTTTTGTTATTGTTGAGATCCTTCAAAAATAAATTCGTTATCTGCATCTTCCACTGGGTTATGAAATCGGACCATTATCAAGTGAACTGGCTTTGTCAAGGAATTTTTTCTGGACAAAAGAAGATGGGCATTAAAAATACAATAAAAATAATAATAACAAAAAAGATTATTTATTACGAGAACTCCATGCCTACAACTATGACTTTGCACCAATTGGTCCCGGAAGAATGTTCGCATAATCTTTAATTGTATCTGTTACCTAAAATAGGAGAAACGGGGGTCATCCTTAGTGTAAAAACTTTGCGCTCTTTCAGCCAATTCTCCCAGTTTACATTTGTTATGTACACTTCCAATACCAGCATATTAATTTCCTCTTATTTTGCTGTCAAGGGCCTCATTTCTGTAAAGACAGCAATTAAGCGAAGCTCTTGGGCGCCGCACACAGTGGAGCACCATCCAAGAAATTTTGGATCTGACAAAATCGTCCGTACATACGTTCACCCATTCATGTAAGCCGGGGTGAAACCTCACATTTCAAGCAACCGCGCGTTTTGGCGGTAAATCGCATGACCACCCGAACTTTCAGAGAGAAAAAAACAACAATAAACTGAAAGAAAGTTAAGAAGAAAAGTCAAATTTTGTTGTTTTTTTTTTCTGTCAAATCGTATAATAAAAAAATGTACCATACAAAACGTTTTTGCTGAGTAGTTTGAATGGTAACATCATGTCCATGTAAATTTTGTACGATTTTTAAACTGACCTCTAACGATCAACTAAGAAAAGAAGAAGAAGAAGAAGAAAACCAACAACGACAAAAAAGTCTTACATAACGTAACAGTGAAGCCATACTATGAAGCAATGACCTCCATTTCTCTTCTTCACTGAATCAGGTGAGGAGTAGAAAGGGAAGCTCTGCTTGAACCACGGCGAGTCATTTTTTTTTTTACGAAGGGGGGGGGGGGGGGAATGGGGAAGGGGGAATTACCTTGAGTGAACCGGACCGGCTTTAGAGGGACGTATTCTAAAATTAGACAGACAAGGTGCATTTTACTTAACATTTTTGTCCAAGATTGCAGCTGTGCCACGCGCAAAGCTATTAAGCCTGGGCTCGAAACTGTATCCTAGCAACATACAGCGCATGCTCAACTAATATCTTAATCGATTCAAATTCAAGCAAAGTCTTTCTCTAGTATGCCAAAATCGAGCAAGTGAAAGAAAGGATCTGTAAGCAGAGTGATTATAAAGTCTTACAATTGTGTGATTTGTACTAGCCCATTGTCATTCAGGTTACCACCGGAAACACCTGAACAACTTCCATTTAAGCCACCACAAAACGAACCCCCATCACCTCCTGCCTGAAAAGAAAATACGCCGCTTCCTCCGCCAGAGTAACCTCCTCCCCCTCCAGATGCACCACCATCTTCGGCTCCCCCTCCCCCACCACCAAACCCCCCTACTGCCCCTGGAGAAGGCCCTCCGTTATAACCACTATTCTTTTCCCCAGCTCTTCCTCCGACCCAGCCTTCAGGGCGTGACCCGCCCCTTTCACCATGTACGGAACCCGATACGAGACATCCAGGACCAAACCAACCGGCCCCGACTCCCCCGCTGTGTAATCCCCCAGAATTACAAAGACCAGGTTGCCCTCCAACTCCTCCTCCTCGAAGATGAGCTGGGAATTTTCCAACAGAGCTGGTACCATGACTACATGCCTGACCATCCACTCCGTTATAACCATTGGATGCACCCCCTCCCCCTCCGGCAGCTAACAAAAGTACATTACTTGTCGTATAAACAAAGCTCCCTCCCCCTCCCCCAGTACCAGCATTGTCCTCTGCAGACAGTCCCAGCTGAGCGGCTGTCAAGTTAGTGGAATTTCCTCCTTGAACCTGCACTGAATCTCCACCTTTTTGTCCCACCACAATATTCAGTACAGTGCTCTCATTCAAACGAAATATGCCTTCCTTAATTGCCCCTCTGCCACCGTGATATGTCCCCGGGGTTATTCCATAGGTTGGTGCGTGTGTTCATCCTCGAGCACCCCAGGCTTTTACCAGATACACACCGGTCTTCGGAACTGTAAAATTTTGAATAATGCCATGATTTCCGATGCGTCCGTTGGTTGTGAAAGAGAAAAAAGCTGAAAACAAATACATAAAGGAGGGTTAGAAAAACAGATAGGCAAGCTTATTCTGCGCTAAAAAAAGGCCTGATTTTCGACGTATTCAGTTTAAATGACGTTTGTGGATAACTGTTTCTTGGGTTTTGGCATTAATTTCTTCTAATTTCCCTCTTCATTTTTAGTTGAAAGAAGGCAATACCAAGGCAATAAACAACCTTTCCCCCACAAAACACAAATCATACAAGTTGGTGATTTTAACCTACGGTAAGTTTAAAACGAAAGTAAATAAAAAACAAACAAACAAACAAACAAAATTTTGAAAATAACCGTTGCATGATGTTCCATTGCCAGTGTATCCAGGGCTGCATGTGCAGTTATAAGATCCCTCAGTGTTATTACAGAAAGCATTGACATCACAGTTATGGACGTTAGTCACACATTCATTAATATCTGGAAGAAGAGAAAGCTGCTCTTATTTTTGCAGACAGGCTATTATGAATAGAGTAATAAGGAGAAAAGGTGGAGAGAGGAGCAACGTTGTATGTATATACGGGGGTGCTTCTGTTTCGGAGTCCATTATATAGTTTTATAGCGGAGCTCTCGCGCGCGAAGCGCGCGCAGCGGAGCACCATGGGTAAAAAATGTGGTAAACTACCCGTCCGAGAAAATTTGGTAATCACTTGACCGTACACCGCCCGCCCGCCCGCCCGACCGTCCGTCCGCACCACAGGCATACCAATGTAAAATAATTCGATCAACAGGTATGGCAACCCGAATGCAACTCGAGGTTTTATTTGGAAAGAAATCGCATGGCCGCCAAACTTTTAGAAAGAAAAAACAACAACAAAGTCGTGTCTTTTTCGACGTTATTTTTGATGTTTACACTCACGTAGATAACAAAGAAAGAGCTAGAGCGAGTGATTGAAAACAGAGGAGACGAATTTTGTAGGAAGACAAACATGAAAATTCAAAGCGGCTGTGAGACAATGAGAAATGCTAGCGGCCAGCAAGGTGAAAATGAGCGGCAGTGAAAAATAAAAGCGAACATGAACACAGGAGACAAAATATTGGGTAAGCACATGACAATTCCTCTATAAAAATAAAGTGTAACTAGGATGTTTGACGTTTTAGTCCTACAAAACAGCGTTGTTGTTGTGCGAAACAACGGCAAAGAAAAACAAAAAGCGTGCTGCACGTGCAAATTTGTTTTTGGTTTTGCTAAGTAGAAAAAAAAGTGTGCTGCACGTGCAACTTGTTTTTTTTGCTAATTAGATCTATTAATCTTGATGCCATTTTCATTGCCCTCCCCGTATAGCATTACACGATTTAATTTTTTTTTTTACAAGTATTATTAACCAGATCTTCACTTTTAGCCCTGGCTAATTCTATATATTATGACTTGAACATGATTTACCGGTGCATGATATTCCATTTCCAGTGTATCCTGGACTGCAGATGCTAGCAGTCAAAAGATCCATCAGTGTTACTACAGAAAGCATTGGCATCACAGTTATCGACGCTAATAGTACACTCGTTAATATCTGAAAGGAGAAAAAAACCTGATGTCATGTGTGTAAATACTGAATGTTGCTATTAAACTTAATATACAACCATTTGGTGCACTTGAGCGATTTACTGGTACACTCGTTAATATCTTAAGTTCTAAAATTAAAAGGAAAATCTTAAAGTTTTATTTATCAGTTTAACATATTGGCAAATACAAAGACAGAAAGGGGGTAGGATCAACCCATAATTAATAGCCATTTGTCTGTATTTTAGCTTTTCTGTTTTGCCAGCAGAGGACTGAATATCAAAACCAAAGGCGATATCACTTATAGAGATTGGCAATGCAATCTCCGAGGAGAGTTGAATTGGGGGGAGGGGGTCATGTCTATGAAACAGGCCGGAATGCTTGTTTGAACCTTTTAGGCGTATAAATTGCACATTTTTGAATCGTTCGCTCTACTAAAAAACAAAAATAAATAAATACATAAATCGGGATGAATTGATAGTATGATAATAACCAGTTAGGGTTGTGGCCAATAAGATGCATAAATCAGAGTATGAATTGAAATAATTGTTTAACATTTACCTGTACAGTATGTTCCATTTCCGCTATATCCTCGATTACAGGAGCAGGAAGACGATCCCTCGGTGTCACTGCAATACGCATTAACATCGCAATTGTGGGTGTTGTTTGCGCATTCGTTTACATCTTTTAAAGAAAAAATGGTTTGTTACAATGAGTGAGAAAAATATGCGTGTCGCGAGAAACATTACAAGACAAAACAGACGCATGGCAAAACAAACGAAATGATTTTTACCCCTGCACACTTCTCCATCTCCAAAGTAACCTGATTGCAAGTACATCGATAGGATCCACTTGTGTTGTCACAAAAAGCGTTGACATCACATGAGTGATTGTTGGTTGAACACTCGTCAATATCTGGAGGAATTTAAAGGGGATACCGTAAAATTCCGAAAATAAGCCCCTCCATGTATAAGCCCCTCCAAATATAAGCCCCCTAAACCGGTAACGCAAAAAACCCTCCGTTAAATCGCCCCTCCAAATATAAGCCCCACGGGGGCTTGTACTTGGAAAATTGCCCTCAAATACAAAGTAAAACAAAGCAAAAACAGTAAATTTACTTCCAACTATAAGGCTAGCCCAATCGATTTTGAAACGCAAATTTCCCTCCGTAGATAAGCCCCACCGAATATAAGCCCCTCCAAAAATAAGCCCCTCAAAAAGGGCCTTTGAAAAATATGAGCCCCGGGGCTTATTTTCGGAATTTTACGGTATGTCACATAAGGCTTCTCAAACTCATTAATAATTCATAAAGAAAATTCAAAGGAAATTAATGTTTAATGAGTGTTTGGATATCAGATGAAAAACTGCTCATTTTTGCATCCTTAATTTCTCCTTCAAAAATGATTTTGTTTGAGAAGAAATATCAAACATTCGACACAGTGTTTCATCACCAGATGAAACACCTCGAAGTTCGTCAAAAATACTCCGCTGCGCGTCGTATTTTCAACTCTCCTCTTGGTGTTTCATCTGGTGATGAAACACTGCATCTCATGTTTGATATATTACATCAAAACCGAAACAGTGGGAGCCATCACCAAATTGAATGCAACAAAAATAACCGATCAAAACGTTAAAAGATGGTATTAATAATACAGCAAATACAAATCTGAAAGTAAGCACGGATGGAAAAACTTGAAGAAGCGGACTGCAATTGCGGTTTTTGAAAACTTGTCACGCTAACAGTTTTTTGCGAAATGCATTTGTTAAAATTTGTTTTCTACCGCTTGATAGAATGTGATTCTATCATTTAGAAGTTATATTAGTCATATATATTTGACAGCGAATAAGGACTGTGGCATTATAGACAAAATCATAATGAGCTTCTGGGAAAAAGCACATCTACCCCTCCCCTAAGCTAAATTATTAACACTACTTCTCACCTAGGGCAAAATGTTGACTTAGGGGAGGGGTAGGTGGGTAGTTTCCCACAAACGTATAACGATCCGTTCAGGATCGAATAAATTAGCCAGTCGTAGCTTAGCCTCTTAAAGTATCCTTTTTCTCAGCAACTGTTATTACTGTTGTCATGGAGACACCAAGGGCTTTACCCTTTTCCAGTTTCAAAGCCTTTTTTCACAGAGAGAGGGAAAAGTGTTTGATGTTTAAACTTACCGTAAGTCCTCTATTAAGACCCCCCGGGGAGGAGGAGCTATTTATTTCAAGCCCATTTGAGGAGGGGGGAGGGGGGGCTTAATAGAGACGGGGGGGGCTTATTTGAGAGCGGGGGTTTATTTACTTAGAAATGACGATGGTATCAGTTCTCCATAAAGAAGTAGAATACAAAGTGGAAAAGCCCAAGTACAAGAAAGTTGGAGGTCATGCAGCCGAGGATCAGAATCAAATGCGAACTTCCAGTTGGTAAATAAACCATCCCGGATCAGTCCACACGAAGTTTCACAGTCGTGATTGATTAATACAGTCAGTCATTTATTCATGAAGAATAATTAGGGGAGGGTAGGTGTGGGGCGGGGGGGGGAGCGCTTAATAGAGAGTGGAGATTTTTAACTTTCTTCCCCGTAAAAGGGGGGGGGGGTTATTTGAGGGGGGGGGATTTAGAGAAGATTGTCTTTTTATAATCAACAAGATTATAAAAATGTTAAAGATTTTAAGGGGCTATGCCACGTTTTTTGCCATATTTTTAAAAAGCTAGAACGCGTCTTTTCAGCAACTGGCCATTTCTAAGTTCTGTTTAAGCTTCTGTTTTAAAGTCAGAGCCTAAGTACGAAGCCATTGATATGGAAATGGTTTTCCCCCATGCAAATAAAACTCATTTTAGCAAGAAAGTTTTTGCACTTAGCCTGGTTTTGAAAGTGAGAGGTTTTTTGGAACTCGGAATTCAAAAGTAATGGTATTGAAACTGTTTCCTGTCGTCTGTTGCTACGAATGGCAAGGATTGACATGGATTGAAACTTGAAATAATTTATAATGCTGCGCGTGCAAAAATCACTCCCCAAAATGATAAGTTCAGTGCTCCCTGATAAAATTCGATATTTTCTTCATAACTCTACAAGACAATTTTGGGTTCAACCCAGAATCGACCAAAAACAGCAATATCCTGGTGACATGGCCCTTAATTAGAGTTTAATTTGCTAAGTATCTTGATAATAACCATTGCATGATGTTCCATTTCCAGTGTATCCAGGGCTGCATGTGCAGTTATAAGATCCCTCAGTGTTACTGCAGACAGCATTGGTATCACATTTATGGACGTTGGTTGTACACTCGTTGATATCTGAAAGTCGAACAAAACCATATTGTAATTCACATTCACATTCACATACTTGATAACAGAGACAGAAAGAGGACATAATTAGCACAAAATGTTGATACAAGAATAATGTAATGGGGGCGTGTATTGCTAGCTATTGTTCTCTACCCTGTCGAAGCCTGCGAATGCAGCTGTCTGTCCTTGCTCAAGTTTCGCTCAAGTTTCGCGGAATGGACGTCTGCGCACCAGCAAATTTTTAAATGGCCGGGAGTGCGTAAATTAGACCAACAAAGTAAAAGCACGTAATACAGTCGAACTTCCCGTAAGCGGCCACCCAAAATGCGAAGATTCAGAGGTATCATACGGAGAGTGGCCGCTTTACGAGAATCGAACGACAGGGGAGACTTTTCCGAGCTGAAGTCCTGACACATATACTTATTGAAAGAGAATTTACTGCATGCAATTTCTTCTTTCTTAACTAATTTTGTTTCGTATTCTTTGAGTAGTGCAGTTCATACAGAAAACATAGAGATCACGCGTCAACTAGTCTCCTACAAGATGTTAAATACAATGGAAAATTTAAAAACTTGTCTCCTCAAAAAGTGGTCGTGGGCGTTTGCAAGAGGTTCCAACTATTAGTAATTTCAGTGGGGAATTTTGGGGTTTTGGATAAGTGGTAGCCAACGAGTGAGGGTCGCACCTGGAGGCTCGACTATTTAACAATTATTCCTCGATCCCGAATGGGCTCTGAGTCAATAGCCCATGAGGTCGAAGGCCGAATGGGCTATTGACTCAGAGGCTATGAGGGCAAGAGGAATAATTGTTTTAGTAAAATCCAGCTAGTTGGTCAAAAATATCGAGACAAAACAGCTTTAGCTAGGAAAACGCGATTCAGCCGCCATTGTTTGGTTTTCAAAGCCGGCGCTTTTCGCCACTAGTGGGCTATAACATATAGCCTAGTAGTAGCTCAACCAATCAAAACGCAGCATTGATAATAGACCACTAGTTGGATTTTACTCTAAAAAAAATGAATTCAAACGATGAAACAAAGAAAAGTATTAACAATTGATTTTACCAAGGCACTCTTGTCCACTTCCATAGAACCCAGAATTACAGGTGCAGTTATGAGACCCAATGGTATTGTTACAAGAAGCATGCACATCACATGAGTCAATGTTGGTTGTACACTCGTCAATATCTGCAAACGGGTAAAATCCTTTTAATTTGAGGCAGTTATAGCAGTGCTTAACGCGAGCGCAGCCCCACAGCGGAGAGAATTTGCTAATCTCTCCATGATAAGTGACTGTCCATCCGCCAGTCCGTCCGCACCACAGGGAAACCAATGTGAAATGTAACACTTTGTGGCTAGAGTGGGAGCCTGTAACCTGATATTGCACATGCATGTTATGGTCAATTACAGGGTACCCACTTACCAGTATCACATGACCGTATCGCGGGCTCAGGTGTTGACTCATCGAGATTGTGTTTTTTGAAGTTATTCGCTGACAAGTTACTAGTTTTTAACTGATCCCAGGCTTAACTCTTAGCTGATACATGCATGGTTACAAGTTTACTGCTTTATAGCCTTGACTAAATCGATATATTACAGTCCCCGAATAGAGATGGTAGGAGAATTCGAAAGAGCTAAGGATGATGTAAAGATGTGAAAAGCTACCCTATTTGAGATATGTTCAGTGAATGGGTGCGACTAAAGAAATTAACTATACGCTCTATAATGGCTTGGAAAGTGATATCAAATAACAGTGAAATATGTTAAGACAAGCAGGACTTGAAAACAGAGAATATAAAATCAGAATACTTTGTTTCCGTCAAAGGTGTAGCACAGTATAATGAAATTGATGGGGTCGAGGCTGGCTGATGCCAATTTGTTAGGAGAGAATTTGCTCAGAGAACCCAGGTCTCATCCGAATTTTCTCCTCAAATCCATTGTCCGAGGAAAAAGTGCGTAAAATTCCTGGTTGCTTTATGAGTTATCTAGTTTATTTATGTGGTGGGTAATTTTTTTAATTTTTCTCTGTAGATGCTGGAGCATATACCATTCAATGCCCATTCTGAAATTAGAGTTAACCTCTTCGCTCGTCGTATCTATTTATAAACCTCTTTGTTTTATGTAAAGATTACAATTAGCGGGTTTTCGTAGAGGAAACAGAATATCAGTGGAAAACGCTAATAATATAAGCTGTAATCAGCCCTTTAGAGATCATAAACTGTAACAAAGAGAAAGCCAATAAAACAGACAGCATAAGTTGGATAGCAAGCTTCCCAACAAGATAGTGCCTAATCCAGCAAATTGTCACGATATGAGCTTATACTTTTGGATTGCCTTGCAAGGAATACATAAAATAAATCAATAAATAAATAAATCAATACGTAAACATGGTTACCAGTACACGACGTTCCATTTCCGCTATATCCTCCATTACAGGTGCAATGATACGATCCCTCAGTGTTACTGCAATAGGCGTTGACATCGCACTTGGTGGTGTTGGTCACGCATTCGTTAATATCTTATAGAAGCCAAAAAATAAGTAAATTCATAAATAAATAAAAATCAATCAATCGATCAATTAATCAAAAAAGCACTGTTAGGCCAGAGAAAATCAAACTTTGAGGTTCACTTGTGCTGAACCAAATGTGAATGGGCGAGAACAATAAATTTTGCTCATTAGCATTTAGGTCCGGCACATTTGAAGTGAAGTTCGACGCTTGACAGAAGCCTTCAGGGAGGACCTCTTAGGGGGGGGGGGGGGGGGGGGGGGG